CCTGTATATCATTCAAATCATCTTGGCATGACAAATCAGAATATATATGGTTTAGGGGTGGGGATCTCGACCATTTACAAGATACTAGAACATTGGGGTGGGGGGAACCCCTGGGGACTAACCCTATACGTCATTCAAATGTTCGAGACATGACGAACAGGAATATATATGGTTTAAGGGTGGGGATCTCGACCATTTACAAGATATTAGAACACTGGGGGTTGGGGGAACCCCTGGGGACTGACCGTGATATTAGAATTTTCTAAAATGGCAGGGGTCGGGATGACCCCTGGGGACTAACCCTGTATATCATTCAAACCATCTTGGTATGACAAACCAGAATATATATGGTTTAGGGGTGGGGATCTTGACCACTTACAAGATATTAGAACTTTCTTAAATGGCAGGGGGTGGGGGTGACCCCTGGGGACTAACCCTGTATTTCATTTGATGTGCTTTATCATGACAAACCAGAATATATATGGTTTAGGGGTGGGGATCTCGACCATTTACAAGATATTAGAACTTTCTCAAATGGCAGGGGGTCGGGATGACCCCTGGGGACTAACCCTGTATATCGTTCAAACAATCTTAGCATGACAAACCAGAATATATATGGTTTAGGGGTGGGGATCTTGACCACTTACAAGATATTAGAACTTTCTTAAATGGCAGGGGGCGGGGGTGACCCCTGGGGACTAACCCTGTATTTCATTTGATGTGCTTTATCATGACAAACCAGAATATATATGGTTTAGGGGTGGGGATCTCGACCATTTACAAGATATTAGAACTTTCTCAAATGGCAGGGGGTTGGGATGACCCCTGGGGACTAACCCTGTATATCATTCAAACCATCTTAGCATGACAAACCAGAATATATATGGTTTAGGGGGTTGGGATCTCGACCATTTATAAGATATTAGAACTTTCTTAAATGGCAGGGGGTGGGGGTGACCCCTGGGGACTAACCCTGTATTTCATTTAATGTGCTTTACCATTTAGAACATTTTCAATTAAAAAGATTGTGTCTATCACAAACGGTATTCAATTTATAATCATTTGAAAATTTTAAAAAATAAAATCCCATAGGGTTCTATAGTAAAACCCTCCTTTCTTTTTGCCCCTCAAAGTACCCCTTTATAAACCCCATTGCAGAAACAAAACCCTGATTGCACCACTATACATGTTAGTCTAACATATTGTGAAACCCTAAGTTAATCTGACAAGTGGTTTTGGAGAACGGGTGCGGACAAGTTCAAATTTAAAAGCGGTGGAAGAGGAAGAAGAAGAAGAAGAAGAAGAAGAAGAAGAAGAAGAACTGAGCAAAACCAATAAGTCTTCCCAAACTTCTTCGTTTGGGAGACTTAATTAATAAAAGAACAGAGTTCCAATGTCCCCCGTATTGCACATATTTGATCTGGCCAAGGTCCAAGGCAATAACTAAAAATTTGGTGTTCTTTAAAACTTTTTATAAATATCTTAGAGAAATTAAGGCTTGACAGTGTCACCAAGTTGACACCAAATGCAATGCAATTCGGATATATATAATTAACATTTCAAGAGGCATAACTCCTTCAAATATTTGATCAGCACTTATTTTTGAAATTATCTGTGAAATTGCTGATGTAAACCTATGATGTAAGTTTCATAAAAATCAGGCAAGAATTGTTCACACTAGAGTGCTAACAATATAATTTTCCATATAATCAATATTTCCAAGGGGCATTTCCCTTTTTCAAATTATTGATAGGCACTGATTTTCAAACTCGTCCAAGACATTGCTGATATGAACCTATGATATGTTTCATAAAATTCTAGCAAGAATTGTACACGTGAGAGCACTAACGATGCAATTTTCTATATAATAATGTTTCCAAGGGGCATAACTCTTATAATATAAAAAAGATGTGGTATGATTGCCAATGAGACAGCTCTTCACAAGAGACCAAATGACACAGAAATTAACAACTATAGGTCACTGTATGGCCTTCAACAATGAGCAAAGCCCATACAGCATGTTCAGCTATAAAAGACCCCGAAATGACAAATGTAAAACAATTCAAACAAGAAAACTAACGGCCTAATTTATGTACAAAAAAATTAATGAAAAACAAATATGTAACACAGCAACAAACGACAACCACTGAAATACAGGCTCCTGACTTGGGACAGGCACATACATACAGAATGTGGTGGGGTTAAACATGTTAGCAGGATCCCAACCCTCCCCCTAACCTGGGACAGTGGTGTAACAGTACAACATAAGAACGAACTATAAAAATCAGTTGCAAAAAATATTTGATCAGCACTTATTTTTGAATTTATCCATGACATTGCTGATATATACCTATGATGTTATTTTCATAAAATCTTGCAAGAATTGTACAAATGAGAGCCCTAACGATGCATTTTTCCATATAATTAATGTTTCCAAGGGGAATAACTCTTTTTTTTCAAATAGTTCATGGTCCGAGGACACAGTTATCGTCCTTAGATTTTCGTTGTCTACAAATATAGTCCCTAGGTGTGGACAGTGTATAACTTGCAAATTTTTTTCATACACATTCCAAATTTATTTCTTTATATTTTATGCATGAAATATTAAGTAAGGGGATGAAATTACATGTTAAAAAAATTTGGTTGCTGAATCTTTATGTAAAGTAGTGATTTGGTCCAGTTAAAAAAGGTCAAAAACTAGTATGTCTGAAGCTGTCAAACTGAATTTTAGACCCCCTTAACATAGAATTGTCAATATTTTGAGTTAGAGCTGGTAGACTTTTCTATAATTTTGATATTATTAGTCCTAATAGTAGTACACTACACTGTAAACATTTTTTTGAGATAGAGCAGGTGTGATTTTTTTAATTTGACTTTATTGTCTAAAAGAAATGCACTACGAAATAACTGTGTTCTCGGGCCTAAGAGGTCCGAGGACACAGTTATCGTCCTTAGATTTTCGTTGTCTACAAATATAGTCCCTAGTGTGGACAGGTTATAACTTGCAAATTTTTTTCATACACATTCCAAATTTATTTCTTTATATTTTATGCATGAAATATTAAGTAAGGGGATGAAATTACATTTTTTTAAAATTTGGTGGCTGAATCTTTATGTTAAGAAGTGATTTGGTCCAGTTAAAAAAGGTCAAAAACTAGTATGTCTGAAGCTGTCAAACTGAATTTTAGACCCCCTTAACATAGAATTGTCAATATTTTGAGTTAGAGCTGGTAGACTTTTCTATAATTTTGATATTATTTGTCCCAATAGTAGTACACTACACTGTAAACATTTTTTTGAGATAGAGCAGGTGCGATTTTTTTAATTTGACCTTATTGTCTAAAAGAAATGCACTACGAAATAACTGTGTTCTCAGGCCTCATCGACACTGCTTTTCGAACATGTCCGAGACATTGCTGATATAAACCTATGATATAAGTCTCATAAAATTCTAGCAAGAATTGTATACATGAGATCACTAACAATGCAATTCTCCAAATAATTAATGTTTCTGAAGGACCCTTTTTAAAATAATTGATAGGCACTGATTTTCAAACTCGTCCAAGACATTGCTGATATGAACCTATGATATAACTTTCATAAAATTCTAGCAAGAATTGAACACATGAGAGCACTAAAGATGCAATTTTCTATATAATTAATGTTTCCAAGGGGCATAACTCTTATATCCAAAACAATTGATCAGCACTGATTTTAAAACTTGTAAAAGACATTGCTAATTATATATGATACAAGTTTCATAAAAATCTGGCAAGAATTGTACAAATGAGAGAGCTTACAATGCAATTTTCCATATAATTAATGTTTCCAAGGGGCATAACTCTTTTAAAAATATTTGATCGGCACTGATTTTCGAACTTGTCCAAGCTAACGATGCAATTTTCCATATAATTAATGTTTCCAAGGGGCATAACTCTTTTGAAAATAATTGATCGACACTGATTTTCGAACCGGTAAAAGACATAGTTAACATAAACCTATGATATAAGTTTCATAAAAATCTGGCGAGAATCGTACACATGAAAGTACTAACAAGACGCTAACAGACACCCTGTATTTCTATGTCTCCTTACAACGCATTGCAGGGGGGACAAAAAATGTTATCTTTAATGACTTGACAACAGTATTACAATCTTATTAAAATAAGTTCACATCACTTGCTCCTCGATTTTTTATATGTCGCACACACGGCGACATATAAAAAATCGAGGAGCAAGTGATGTGAACTTATTTTAATAAGATTGACAGTATTATAACTATATCCCTTCTGAATAAGTCTGTTTAAAGGTTTTGAATGACAACATTTTGTGCTTTGTATAGAATAATACCATGAAAGATCAAATGTGAATTACCTGAACGTATAAGATGCCTGCAAGTTGTTTATATTTACGAATAATGAAAGTCTTTGTACAGATGATAAAATTTAGTAAAAGTTTTGACAAGTTTGCGATATCGAAAACCCTGGTGTTACAATTTTTCAGTACTACAGAAAGTTTACATTATAACTACTGATGACAAAAAAAATATGTGATGGCAATACCTCACATGGCTGGGTGAGCTAGAGAACAAAAAAACTTTCAAATCTTCCATACTCATGCATCTCTTCTAAAATAAATGTCAATCAATTATCACAGGAATCTGTTAACCAAAACATCTTTTTAATATTTTCCCAACCAATTGACACAAATTTATGTACATTTCCTCCCTTATGTTTAGTGTATTGACAGTGTAATATTTAATTCTAACAGGTGAATTATGATGGGCGGGAGGACATTTATTGGGACTTTGAGATTGAGTCTTATTTTGGGGGGAATTAGGTATTTACGCTTATCAGGACTCAGGAATTAATGATTACTTTTTCAGGATCCACAAAAGAAGGCTTTCTTTTGTTAGGAATGTGAGTTTTAGCATTTATTTTTCCAGGAATTCTGGATGACACCCCTCAATGATATTAATATAATTTCCATTTATTTACTTACAAGACCGCCATTACTGGTATCATCATCAAGTATATGTTCTTCTGCCTTAATTGTAATACACTGTCCTCCAACAGATGGCAACCACCAATCAGTGGCGTCAGGATTAACAACACAATTGGAACTTGAAAAATAAAAGATGGTTAAACCTTCATGCGGATTTTAATATAAACTGTTCAGTTGTACAATTTCACTACTATTCTGAAAATAATCTTTCTAACAAACAATACAAATGTAATGCTTTCAAATCTATTATGCAGCATCTTTTTTAAGTGTTGCTTCTGTCACTGTATCCGTTTGAAAAAATACCAGACAAAACAATATGATAATGAGGATGATGAATGGTCCAGTGGCAAATGCTATGTATATTCAGGACAAGAACATATTGTTCATGCAATATGAATATGAACCCTGCTGTGTACTAGACAGACACACTAATCATGATTTTTAAATTGTTAATTCACAATATAACAATCACCCTACCAGGACACATTATTCCATACATGCCCAAGACTATTCCAGATGTCAATATTGTCGATATCGACAATGTCAACACAATATCAAATCAATATCAATAAACTTATACACTCATGACATAACCAGATGTCGATTTTGATAACAACACCATGCAATGACAAAACCTGAAGTCACTTTGATTATTGAATTGATGTCCATGATGACTAAAGACAATAAAAAAAAATAAACCTATAAAAACTGATCAAATTAAGACAGAATATAAAGATTGATATATAATACAGATGATGTAAAATTGAGTGACCCATTAAGTGCATGGCTTCACTTGACAGCTTTGGTGTCAAACACACTGTTAACTAGACATCATTGAGATGGGAGCCATCTCTGTGGGCCCCGCTGTAAATAAGGTGTGGTAAAAAATTTGTATGGATAAGCTGATATAAAGCACTTTTTTAAGTTATTACATAGTCTCGTTATGTGCTGAGAGTGATTTTATTCTATGTTTTTTAGTTAAAGTGTTATATTTGGCAATTTAATTAAACTGATAAATATCCTGAACTTACTTTCATAGTATAATAGTTATATGACTACATGGTGTGAATTCATTGTTGACCGCTAGGTGACTTCTGGATATATGGGTTGATCTATAAACTTTAACGGTTCTCAAGATGTAAAGCCGACATGATCTGTACCATAGGACATGGGGTTGTCAACTTAAACCAAAGTTTTGACCTTGAACTTTGACCTAGGAAGCTGTACAAACATTATGACACACCCTCTGGTGTTGGTTAATATATATGTCAAATATAAACTTTGAAATCATAACGGTTCTCAAGATATAGAGCGGACACGATCTTTACCATAGGACATGGGGTTGTCAACTGAAACCAAAATTTTTGACCTAGAACTTTGACATAGGAAGTTGTACAAACATTATGACACACCCTCTGGTGTTGGTTAATACAGGGACTAAACTAAACTCTTTTTGTCCAGGGGCCAGCTGGGCCCCCAAAATATTTTTTTCAAGGGCCCACTTGAAATTTTAGGGGCCCAACCAATTTTTATACTAATAAAATAAAACTTAAATGTATTTTTCATATACTAATAAAGCCGTTTTATGTAATCCTATATGTAATGTTTGAATCTGGTAAAGATAACTTTATAATATTTGAATTATTGCCACCAGAAATATATCATAAGATTTGACAATACTAATGTAATTTCCCACCAAAATTGTCTCCCTTCAATTTGAACTTCCTGTTGACAATATAGCTGTTTCTATGAATCATTAAATGCTATTTCAAATTCAAGCCATCCAATAAAATTGTTGATCAAAAATACTATTCAATTACTTTTAACGAAGATTGGTTGGCATAGTAGATATTTGGATATTTATTTACGAGATTTTTGTTCCATTTTTTCATGAAGAACAAAAAGTTGTGTGTACAAGTTTTTGTCAAAAACGGGCTTGTTATGACAGGCAATTCAGATTCATCAGTGTAATCTGAATTGCCTGTCATTACAATGAAAACACTTAAAAATTATGAATTAATCGTAGAAGCTTAAAAGAGAGATAAGTAAAACGTGTTTAGTAATAGAGAGTGGGTATATGTCAAATCATGACTTTGCATCGAAAACTTTAAGTTGTCCGACCGGGTTTTGGCTATTAAAATGAACTTGCTGGTTTTCGGAAATCCTCCGTTTAATTTTCCCACTTTTATTAGACAATCTCGTTTCCGTTTGGGAACAGTTTTTTGTTTACATTGCTGGGGAAAGGGTAGACATGGGATTCAATGCAAAATATTTTCAGTCGCTAGCTGGGCGATCAGGATAAAAAATATATTCGCCCAGCCGAAAATCTGGTGATGTTGGGCGACTGGACGACCGTTAAGTTTAGTCCCAGTAATATACATGTCAAGTATAAAGTATGAAATTATAACGGTTCTCTAGATATAGAGCGGACACAATTTGTTACGGACAGACAGACAGACGGACGGACGGACAGACTGATCACTATAGGGCGACCCGCCACTAGGCGGAGCCCTAATAAACACTAATTACCTTAGCCTTGCTAAATAATTTGTGTATTTCAAAGATGTTTGACAAAAAATTTGAGTCAGTACTCTACATTTTTGTCACTTTTCACAGTATACTACTTAAATTAAGATGTTTCTTTGTAAAAAGATTAAATTTAATGCGAATTAAATGCAAAGATATATAAGAATATGACTTCAATGGTCTTAACTTTCTTAGGACAATTAAGAAATTAATATTTTGAAAATTATTTTTTTTCATCTCTACTTCCTTTAAATACTTAATTTTTTTAATTACATTATCTAATATAAACTTCTTCTAATGACCATGCAAGACCCTCATGGGAAGTCTTTCAGGTCACTGAGTTGTAACAAACCATAAATCATATGAATTTTAGGTTTAGTTACAAATGTGTGAATGAAACAACATGAGAGGGCAAGGCTGGAATTGTTATAGTAGAATAAATAAGTTTCAATGATTAATGCAATGAAAAATAAAATCAAAGTTTTCAATTATTTTCAGCAGATAACATGTTATAAAAAATGTCCCCTAAATATTTAAATTCAGCTGAAAAAAGTTTGTACGTGTTAAACTCGTACAGAAATTGCTAAAAAAAGCACATAAGTTTCACATGTGAATCACATAAGATGCAAGTAAGAATTGTATGCTCACATGTACGTGCAGCTTGGTAGTTCATATGTGCCCCAAAAAATTTAACATAATTAATGCTCATAAGTGCAATTCAAACCTTAGGTGAGCTTTTATCATCTATGTTAGTTTTGCACTTCATCATGTTCATTTTTGTTTCAGATTCTGAAATATATTACAATTTTAGGTCCTTTATGGGAGAATGCATTTGCTTCAAATAAGTACTACATGTATATAGTTAATTCCTGTTTTAAACTTTGTCTTTCTGAAATATAGTACTTAATAAAAGACATTCATTATGTACTAAACTTGTAAGTCCCTGCACTTAGTTTTATAATGTAATGTAATGCTTTCAGTCATTATTGTTTTAATAACAAAAAGGACAAAAAAATATGAAAATCATAACTGACAGTAATAAAGAATAACACTTAACATCATGTGTCATTTATTTTATTTTCAATTATTCAAGATTTTCATTTGAATTTGAAATTTTGTCCTATTTTGAAGCAGCCATTTTGTTTTGATCTTTAGGTACTATTTAATCATCAGCATCTGGAGATAATCAGATAACAAAATCAAATTGGTCAACTAGTTTTCACATGTGCAAAATGTGAGCAGCTGCTCATATGAGCAATCTGATAAAATGCACATGTGAAACAAAAGCTCATATGAGTATTTGCAAGTGAGGTTTTTAACATGCAAATTACATTAGTTTCATATGTGTAATTTTTTTGCTCACAAAATACTCACCTGATTTGCATGTTAAAATAATTAACCTCATGTGCAATCATGTTAGTTTCTAACGTTAGATCTAATGTGAGCATCTTATATGCAACTTGTTAGCACCATTCGGTAAGGGTTTATGACCTGAGATTTTCTTCTTCAAAGCAGGTCATGACCTGCATTTTCATTTTCAGAGGTTGACAGGTATAACAAATATATTAATAACAAAGTAAATGTATTGATGGTGAAATTCATATCAAGACCAGGTTTATATAACACTCTATCAGACTGAGGTGAACATCTGAAGAGCAACTTTCGCAACTGATAGTTCTAGAACACAAAAAGATCACAAAAATTTAATGTTGTCATTGGACCTCAAAATTAAGATCAAATATATCATTTATGTCATTTTAAAGTATAGCAGTTATTCAATGTTATGTGCTAATAAACTATTGTCTGTTGCCTGTTCTACACGTACAGTAAAGTTACTTAGGGTATTTCTCCTAAATGTCCACAGAGTTTGTATAAAGCACAAGTGGTACCATATTACAGAGCACTATTTAGAAAAAAATATGTGAATCTTCCAGGGAAGATAGGTGTCAATCACTTACAGTCTCACAATAAAATAAGAAGAGATGGCAGTCCCTGTTTTGGAATAGCAATAAATCAATAAGATCAAAACATTTAAATAGCAAGTGCATAACTTCATGCCTTAAAGAAAATCTGCACCAGTTTGGGGGAATTCTTTCAAGCTGTTGTCAAAGAATTGTGGATTAACAAAGTGTGAATGCGTGATGAAGCAAAGGACAACAACCAACACATGAGGATAGAAGTGATCTATATGTGTACACTGATTGATTGATTGATTTATGGTGTGTAACACCACTTTCAGTACTATTGGCTATTTCATTGTGGCCAGTTTGTTTTTATTTGTGGATGAAGCCAGAGTCTCCAAAGAGAACCACTGACCTTAAGCCGGAAAACTGGCAATCCTAGTCAATTAAGATTGGAGCGGAACGAACCTGCCAAGTGCGGGTCAGAACTCACAACCTCAGTGTTGAAAGGTTAGTGATACAGTATATGAACTACTTAGACCACTCGGCAACTGCGGCCCCCATATGTGTATATGTAGCTGCAGCTTTGCTATAAGGCAACACAATAAAAGACTACACTGGAATAAGTGAAAAATTAACTTTATAATAACATATAATATGATCATATCCTTAAACCCATTCTGTTATATAATTCAGAGGTATGGGGAGGTTATGCAATGTTTCTTGTAATAAATTACAATCCTCATTTAATCTTGAAAATATTTATAAAAATCTTCAGTGTGAGAAACTTCATCTCAAGTTGGTGTAAATTTTGCTGTATTATCAGAACTGGGGTGTTTCCCCTTACACTATGATATTGTAAAGTCAATTGTTAAATACTGGTATAGATTTGAAAATCTTCAGACTGAATTCAGTCTATTGAAAGACGCTTATAAATGCAGCCAAGAGCTTCACAAATCTAACATAACTTCTTGGTTCTCATTTGTTAAAAAATTATTAGAAGTTTTTGAAATTAAACAACTTCACTGAAGTAAAACATTTTGAACAATATAAATTTTTGAATATATCTACCAAATTAATTCACACTAAATATATAAACAATTGGTATGTTAGCCAAAAAAATGCTTCTGATGGAAAATTGTTCAATTATTTGAAATTTAAACAAAATTTTGGCTATGACGAAGAAGAAGAAGAAGAGGATGTTTTATTTCCATTAAATGGGCTCACAAGGAGCATAATACAATATAAGAAAATTATCTTTCTTTGGTTAAGAACTTTGATTTTAGAAGAGCTATTTTCAAATTACTTATATCAGCTCATAAGCTTCAATTGAATTTGGCCGTTTTTCTAATATTCCATGAAATGAAAGAATTTGCAAAAAATGCCCCTCTGGCTGTGTTGAAGATGAAATCCATTTTTTAACTTCATTTGAAAAAGATAGAGATGCTCTCTAAGACTTTGTTTGCCATAAAATTCCAAACTTTTCTTTACTGGACAATCAGCAAAAATTTATATATTTATTAAGCTGTGAAGACAATCAGGTCCTTAATGCTGTTGGAAAATTTATCATTCTATATGAGTTAGATGTATTTATTTCTCATATAAATTCTATGTACCTATGCTAATCGATGTTCTTTTTCCTTATACATGTATTCTCTATATGCCCCTTGTGGGGCCTTAACTGGTAATAAAATATGTTCTCTTGTTCCTGTTCTTATAATACTTATGCCATAGTACTACATTTATGACAGGTCTCAACATATTAGGAAGCAAATGATAACAAATTTCCATCAAACTGTACAAAAACAAGGATATATTAAATCATCAACAACTGTAACATTTATAATTACTACATATATTTATGTCTTTTTTAACATTCTGATAAAACTTGAAAAAGAATTCATCCACACTTATAATAGTGTATGATGCACGTGCAAACTGTAGCACTCCTACAACAAAAATGTATGCCTTCATTTCACTTCAAATTGCAATAATACTTGTACTTTACCTATAACTGTAAATGTTCCATCCACATGCAGGATTCATTGATTTCATACACTCTTGACATTTATTAGTATTTGGACATGGGTCCTTATCAGCAACATTTATAACCTAAAATAAATGACCAATTGAGTAAAGGTGTAATTTTTCAAACCTCCATATGAGAAACTCCATTTGAAAATAAATAAACATGGTGGAAGTTTTCCTTTGGAAGATATTTTGCATGGTTTCCTAGAATATGTCACTACTTATTTGGTGTAAAATTAGTCAAGCTTAAAGAAATCTTAAACAAATATTCAAATGAGCTCCATCATTACAGAAATGAATTAACAACCGACAGAATAGGTCAAATCTTACATACCGGTAGTAATATTTGTAACAGCTGCTAGTGTATTACAAAACTAGAGGCTCTAAAGAGCCTGTGTCGCTCACCTTGGTCTATGTGCATATTAAACAAAGGACACAGATGGATTCATGACAGAATTGTGTTTTGGTGATGGTGATGTGTTTGTAGATCTTACTTTACTGAACATTCTTGATGCTTACAATTATCTCTATCTATAATGAACTTGGCCCAGTAGTTTCAGTGGAAATTATTTTGTAAAAATTTACAAAATTTATGAAAATTGTTAAAAATTGATTATAAAGGGCAATAACTCCTTAAGGGGTCAATTGACCATTTTGGTCATGTTGACTTATTTGTAGGTCTTACTTTGCTGTACATTATTGCTGTTTACAGTTTATCTCTATCTATCATAATATTCAAGATAATAACCAAAAGCTGAAAAAATTTCTAAAAATTACCAATTCAGGGGCAGCAACCCAACAACGGGTTGCCTGAATGGTCTGAAAATTTAAGGGCAAATAGATCTTGACCTAATGAACAATTTTGTTTTGAAAGATTTGCTCGAAATGCTTTGGGTTTAGATATATGAGCCAAAAACTGCATTTTACCCTATGTACTATTATTAGCCATGTCGGCCATCTTGGTTCGCGGGCGGGGTCATCAGACACAATTTTAAAACTACATACCCTAATGATGATTGTTTACAACTTTAGTTAAATTCATCTTAGTAGTTTCAGAGGAGAAGATTTTTGTAAAAGATAACAAAAATTTACGAAAAATTGTTAAAAATTGACTATAAAAGGGCAATAACTCCTTAAGGGGTCAACTGACCATTTTGGTCATGATGACATATTTGTAGACTTTACTTTGCTGAACATTATTGCTGTTTACAGTTTATCTCTATCTATAATAATATTCAAGATAATAACCAAATACGGCAAAATTTCCTTAAAATTACTAATTCAGAGGCAGCGATTCATCTGAAAATTTCAGGGCAGTGAGATCTTGACCTGATAAACATTTTTACCCCATGTCAGACTTGCTCTCAATGCTTTGGTTTCAGAGATATAAGCCAAAATCTACATTTTACCCCTATGTTCTATTTTTAGCCATTGCGGCCATCTTGGTTGGTTGGCCGGGTCACCAGAAACATTTTTAAAACTAGATAGCCTAATGATGATTGTGGCCAAGTTTGGTTAAATTTGGCCCAGTAGTTTCAGAGGAGAAGATTTTTGTAAAAGTTTACGGACGACGGACGACGGACGCCAAGTGATGAGAAAAGCTCACTTGGCCCTTTGGGCCAGGTGAGCTAAAAAGTTGAGTTATAATATACTTTATGAAATGGGGAGAAAATTTAAGGATCTTTCATCAGCAATAAAGGCAGAAAGAGAAATTTCATCTGGAAAGCATTGCTTTCCAAAATGACAGACACTGACATTAAAGAATAGTCTTGGCAATGACTTATCATATGCTTTAGAAAACTAACCGCGCCTTTTTCAAAAGCTGTACAAGGAATGAGCTGTCAAATTGACAGCAAACTGGGTTTTCTATATTTGAAAAGGCACTTGCATATAGATATAGGAAGATGTGGTATGAGTGCCAATGAGACAACTCTCCATCCAAGTTACAATTTATAAAAGAAAAACATTATAGGTCAAGGTACGGCCTTCAACACGGAGCATTGGCTCACACCAAACAGCAAGCCTTGTTTTACCTGCCACATTCTATGCCTTAATAATTTTCCAATCTATCTTGGATCATAACTCCTGATTTGCAAAAATGAAACAATCAAAACTTGGCCACCATGATTTTGTCATCAGTAACAGCATTACAACAATTAAAAGTTTAAGAGCATTGGTTAAACGGTTCATAAGTAATTGCACAGAAACGACAAAGTGGCATTTATCAATCTATCAAAAACCATGACTCCTGGACTGCAAAAGTGAAAATCATTAATATTGAACTTGACCTCCATTTTGTCATCAGTAAAAACATGTGATGATTTGAAAACCATTGGTAATAGGGTTCAAAAGTTATTGAACAGAAACATAAAGTGCCATTTTCCAATATATCATGGACCATACCTCCTTAAACGGTAAATACTCAATATCATTCTTGACCTCAACTTTGTTATTAATACATATATATTATATATATATATAATAAGCAAGTCTATAAGGGTACAACATCACCAAATAAACCAATAGATCTAAACAATTCATCAAAGTTTCATGAGAACTGCTGAAAGCATTTTTAAGGTATTGTCCGAAAACTGGAAAATCACCCCTTTTTTAATGAATAAAACACCATAACTCAGAAACATAAAATCTAAAATTTATAAAATTCGAAATGGTGCTTACATCAATAGATATAAACCAGTCACCAAAGTTTCATGAGAACTGCTAAATGCATTTTGGAGTTATTGTTTGAAAACTGTAAACTGCCCCTTTTTTTAATGAATAAAACCCCATAACTCAGAAACGTAAAATCTAAAATTTATGAAAATGGAAAATGTCAATAGATATAAACAACTCATCAAAGTTTCTTGCAAATTGGTGAAAGCATTTTGGAGTTATTGTCGGAAAACTGAAAAATCACCCTTTTTTTAATGAATAAAACCTCATAGCTCGGAAACGTAAAATTTGAAATTTATAAAAAAAACGAAAGGGAGCTCACGTCAGTAAATATAAACAATTCACCAAAGTTTTATGCAAATTGGTTTAAGCGTTTTTGAGTTAATGTCCGACATGTTGACGACGGACGGACGGACAGACAGACAACGGTATACCATAATACGTCCCGTAAACGGGCATATAAAAAAAGTAAAATCATGAACAAATGTTAAATATTTCAGATAACTAATATCCTTCATCAGTAAGATGTCAAATGATTCTTATCTTGACATGTGGTAGTCAAACTGAAATAATAATCTTGATCGTTATACAAACTATCACGAATCAATAAGCTGGTAAATTTTTTCAATATTGATGTTTGGGAGGAGGAATAAATTTCTTAAAACTGTAAGAGTCCTGTACTAAAGCCTGAGTTACAGGAAACAAGTGATGGTAGGAACTCATTCTATGTTTTTTCAATAATGCCCTCTGGGGAAACTGTCCTTAACTTTCTTATCCAAAAACTTTCCCGAGCAAGTCTGTCGGCCTTTGACCAACCCTCATTGTGGTCTATGATAGTGATGGTAAGTTTTTATAGATCAGCTTGGGCATGCCCAGGACTGAGGTGATCTCAAATGACAACTTACGGGGACTCACTGTCCTGGTCATGATTGCAGGTGTAGTCACTTCGATGACCATTCATGCGTTTGTTGAATGGCTGTTCAGTGAGTGTCTTGCCAACATACTGCATGCCACATCGACACTGAAGAAGGTATACAACATTCTGGGTTTTGCAAGTTACATTGCAATATATAGTGTATACGGACCCAGTGGAGTGGCAAGTAAATGTTTGAGTATTCAGTATTTGTTGGCAAGTCAGATATCGTCTGATACCACATAACTTGCTACCACATGTCAAGATAATTAAGAATCATTTGACATCTTACTGATAAAGGATATTAGTTATCCGAAATATTTAACATTTGTTCATGATTTTACTTTTTTTCAGTGATGTTGTACCCTTTCAGACTTGCTTATTTTATATTATATTTGGTAGTGTACTGTATCATAATGATATGATCCATCGCCCAGTTATTGCATGGAAACTGTTGGCAAGATCATGAATCAGAAAATAACAATTTTGAATCTGCATTATTCTTTCAAGTACAGTTTCTTAATTAGTTATAATTACTGTGTGTTCAGTCATAACATAGACATCATGTTCAAGAATTTTAATGTCCAAAACTGGAGAGAAATTCTGTACTATTTTAAATCTTCCTAATGCTTTGCTGTCTGTTTTGGTCACAAATATCTGGAAAAAAAAAAGATAAACAAGAGGCTATCAGAGTGACAGCAACCATATTTTCCTGCAGAGGTCGATCCCTGAACAGTTGAGCAAGTATGGACGCAACATTTAAGCTTAAAACAGCTCTGAATTTGGATTGTGATTAAATATTTGACACAGTATAGGTTTGTGACACAAAATGAATGTGGTCAAAGAACTGAAAAATTTGAAATCAGAAATTACCTATTATGGTCCAATATCCAAAATCTAATAACATAAATCTAATAACATTGTTATCATTAGGGACGACATCAAAAGTTCAATGTAGGATAAAACACTTAATTCACATAGTTTTTTCACTGACCCCCCCCCCCCCACCTCTTAACTTAATTTGGGAAAAATATGGATATATGTAAAATCGATTTTGGATAAACAAAACTTGCAGCAATTTTAACCCCCCACCCATAAACTATCTGATTTAAGTTTTTTATCCTACATTGATCTTTTGATGTTGCCCCTTAGCATATCAAAGAACCCCAAGAATTCAATTTTTGAATTGTTGATGAAATCAAACAAAAGTTTAATTTAGGACCCCTGCACCTCAATGGTGTATTATCTAATTAATAATGAAAATAAATACAGGTTTAGATTCAGCTTTTCAAAGAACCCTATATATATATTCAATTTATGTTGAAATCAAACACAGTATAATTTTGGATCCTGATTTGGACCAACTTGAAAACTGGGCCCAAAATCAGAAATCTAAATATATGTTTATTAACAGATAAACTAAGTTTAGTTTTTAAAGGAGTTTGCTTCTTCAAAAAAAATATATATACAGCATTCAGAAAATAAGTTTATACAAAATAACAAACAAACCAACCACAAAATTCTTCAAACAATTTACAAAAGAAAAGATGAAAAAAAATCCAAAATGTCATTTATCATTAATACAATAATTATTAAAAATCTATAAAACTTATCCGTAATTATCTTCAAAATGTCTAATAATGAACAGTAAATTTCAAACTTTATTTATACTGTCCTACTGATCTTATCTTCAACAATTACGAAACAGAAAATTTTCAAATAAATCTGTCGCTCAAATTATAATTGTGTGATAAGATATTTACCAGATGTTTTGTTATCTATTAACAGGTGAAAATTATTTAAAAACACTTAGTGTAATCAAACTTTATATATATAATAAATAGTTCCCAATATTTTTTCTTTCATTTGTCACAAACTAATATAGATCTGCAACTTATCTATCAATGTCAACAATTTTATCTACACAATGTAATGTAATGAAATATATCCTTTAATAAAAATAGATTATTATCTAATGAAAATGATATTTGCAAATCACAATTTCTGTTCAAAGGGAAATAACTCAATCATATAATAAGTATATATTTGGACTTCTAAAAAGTCGAAAACTCAAAAACGAGAGAAGCTAAAACTTGACCTTCATTTAGTCACAGGAAACAACATATTAAAATTTGAAAAAAATTCGTCAAAGCGTTTGCATGTTAATAAACGGACACTAAGACCTGTTGGTGACCTTCTGCTGTTGTCTGTTCTATGGTCGGGTTGTTGTCCCTTTGACACATTCCCCATTTCCATTCTCAATTTTACTGTTTGGCAGCCGCCTGCCCGCCCGCAGTACATCCCCAAATCAATAACCGATTTTTCCTTCGAAAATCCGGTTAAAAACAGTTCTAATGCAAACTGTCTTAAATGTGAATTAGAATATATATAATACATATTCTAATTGGCCTGTGTGAACAAGAATCAAGAAAACCAATATCTCACAAATATGCAGACATTTATATGGTAGGAATAAATTCTTTATCAAGAAAAGATTCTTTTACATCATCTTTTTTTAAGATACATTAGAAATTAAATGATTTTGACAAGATAACGTACTGCATCTTAATTGTCTACAACACTAAAACAGTTACCTGTACACAGATTGACTCAAACAAAGTAAATCTACATGAAAAGAGACTTTTGAGATTTCTTAGAAAATTAAGAAACCTACCTAATTTGCCTACCTTAAAAACCTACCAATACCAACTTTACAGCCTAAATTTCCCAGAATTAAAAGTATGCAGCTTTTAAAATTTTAATGGCTTTAGACTATTTTTGAAAGCACTGACTAAAATTTCTATGACACAAAAGTCATTCCGAAAAAAAAGGCCAGTTTTCTTGTACAAAACATAATACTTTAGTATATTTCAGGAATGACTGAAATGTTTTTTCTGTCTATGAAAAAATAACATAATAAATTGCTTCGCCAAGCGCAGCTGGATACGACCGCAGAGGTCCAACCCTGAACAGTTGGGGCAAAAATGGACACAATATTCGCGCTTGATACAGGTCTGAATTTGGATTGTAATTCAATATTTGACACATAATAGGTTTCTGACACAGAATAACTGTAGCCAAAGAACTTAGAATTGGTTATATGATTTGAATTTATATTCAATTTTTTGCTTTTGAGCAAAACACTATGCTGTTGCGAATTGACCTCCCTCCCCCCCCCCCCCCCCCCCCCCCCCTTTTTTTTCAAAAAAAAAATAAATTATAGGATTTTCTTTTAGATTTCTGAAATCTTGAGGAGAAAAAATTGTTCCCCCCCACCCCCCACCACCAATTTTTTTTACCTCCCCCCCCCCCCAATTTTTTTTTAACCTCCCCCTCCTTTTTCCAAAAAAAATTCTTTCCCTCAGTCATGGTCATAATTTCAATTCAAATTTCCAATGGAGTTTGCAACTTCATAAAAGTCTTAAAATAGAAAATGACATACATAATCATAGCTAAAATTAATTTACCTTAATCAGCATTTTTAAAATTATCAAAATAGTAACTTCTAAAAATGAATTGACAGCTAATCACCTCAAGACAATACAAAAATTCTTTATACATAATTTAAAAGCAGTGTAAGGGAGGTTATTCAAAGTTGTGTTTGAATTACCTCCCTTACACTGTAATTTGTACTTAAGTAATTGTCCATTAACCAGGACACCCTTGTTTTTTCTCACTTTTTTGCCCCTAATTCCTAAACAGTTTGAGCCATAACCCCCAAAAGCAAGTCCTAACCATCCCTTTGTGGTATGGAAACTTGTGGTATAATTTCAGAGAGATCCATACACTGTTCCACAAGTTATTGTCATGAAACTAGAAAAATGCTTATTTGGGCCCCTTTTTGGCCCCTAATTCCTAAACTGTTGGGACCATAACGCCCAAAATCAATCCCAACCTTCCTTTTGTGGTTATAAACCTTATGTTTAAATTTCATAGATTTCTATTTACTAATACTAAAGTTATTGTCCGGAAACCAAATGTCTTCTGACGACGACGACGACGACACGATACCAAAATACGACCGCAAATAAAAAATGTGGTGCACACTGAATAACCTGCATAGGGTGTTATTTAAAAGTGTGCAACACATTTTGGAGGTTATTTCGAATAGACCGAAAAAATATTAGTCATTCGATCCCTATAATTTAATTCTAAATTCCATTTTTAAGGAGTAAATCATCAATTGATGACGTCAGGGTCACATGACAAAATTAATGTCTATGAGCTGATAGACAAAATAACTTTCAGCCAATCAGAAGACTTGTTACATCCAAAATTAAATTATTATGATTTACATTTATAGGCCAATAGCATTGAACCAGAAAGAAAAAAAACAACACTTCAGCCAGAATGATTTACTTATACAACAAAGTTGGTTACCGGTGCTAATAGTTGCAGTAAGTAAAAGCTGAGAGGTACAAACTGACCACATAAGTGCATGTCAATACTATAGCAGATACCACAACTTTTTATCAAAAGTATTTAATTTCAACAAACCTTTCCTATTTTTCCTGTCTTGGTTCCTGCATAAATAACAGCATGATTAAGAAATGGAAGTACACCAAGTTTTACTATGGCACCATTTACTGAACTGCCCTCACTATAGATTACTCTTTCCTCAGTTATAGGTTTACTTCCTTCTATAGATCCAAACAATGGTGAATTACAGAAGTCACTATTAACATCTCTACAGGGATTCTGAAATTATTCATTCTGCTCTAAATATTGTTCAGATGTAAACATGCATGTATAATCTCAAAATTGGTTAGAAAAAAAAATGTACATGCAACATATTTGTTATTGTAATACTCAATTTCATTTTTTATTTCTTCACTTTGTCTGCTGATAATTACATTTTCATGCAGATCTAGCTGTTCTTTAGCTTTTTTTCATTTGTTTGTTTTAATTACAAATCTGCTGACCAGTGTTTTTTCTGATTTTCCAAAAACAATTGAAAATCAAAGTTTCATGCATTTTATTCTGGCCAATCCTACAAAATACATTATCCCTGCAATATTTATAAATTAACAGCTGGGCCATGAGTGCATGCTACACTGATTTGTGCAAAATGAAATTGTTGCAAGAATAAAATGGAATATTAATAAAATGCTCCGCTGGGCGCAGCTTGATACGACCTCAGAGGTTGAACCCTGTACAGTTGGGGCAAGTATGGACACAACATTCAAGCTTGATACAGCTCTGAATTTGGATTGTGATTAAATATTTGACACAGCATAGGTTTCTGACACAGAATGAATGTGGTCTAAGAACTTAATTTTTTTTAATTTACCTATTATGGTCCAATATCCAAAATCTAAATACATGGTTAGATTCAGCATATCAAAGAATCCAAAGAATTCAATTTTTGATGAAATCAAACAAAGTTTAATTTTCAACCCTTTTGACCTCAATGTGGACCAATTTGATAACGGGGCCCAAAAATCAAAATACATGGTTAGATTCAGCATATCAAAGAACCCCATGTATTCAATTTTTGTTGAATTCAAACAAAGTTTAATTTTGGACCCCAACTTGGACCAACTAGAAAACTAGGCCCATAATCAAAAATCTAAACACATGTTTAGATTCAGCTTATCAAAGAACCCTAAGAATTCAATGTTTGTTAAAATCAAACTAAGTTTAATTTCGAACCCTTTGGACCTTCATGTAGACCAATTTAAAAAACATGACCCAAGATTAAAAATCTAAATACACGATTAGATTTGGCATATCAAAGAACCCCAATAATTCAATTTTTGATGAAATCAAACAAAGTTTAATTTTGGACCCTTTTGACCTCAATATGAACCAATTTGATAGCGGGGCCCACAAATAAAAAATCTAAATACATGGTTAGATTCAGCATATCAAAGAACCCCATATATTCAATTTTTGTTGAAATCAAACAAAGTTTAATTTTGGACCCCAATTTGGACCAACTTGAAAACTGGGCCCAAAATCAAAAATCTAAATACATTGTTTATATTCTGCATATCAAAGAACCCCATACATTCAATTTTTGTTAAAATCAAACAAAGTTTAATTTTGGACCCTTTGGACCTTAATGTAGACCAATTTGAAAACTGGACCAAAATTAAAAATCTTAATAAACGGTCAGATTCGGCATAACAAATAAATAAATGTGGTCAAAGATTTTACAAATCTAATGCGCCATACTGTGCAATTAAAGATTACTTCTTGAAATTTTTCAATACTTGAAATTTGAAAAAAAAATAATATTTGAAGAATAATTCTTTTTAATTTCTGAAATCTGAAATAAGAAAAAATTGACCCCCCACAATTTCTTTTTACCCCCCTCCCCCCTTTTTCCCCCAAAAAATTCTTTCCCTCAAGATATGGTCATAATCTCAATTCAAATTAAATTTCCAATGGAGTTTGCAACCATAATTACCCATTTAAATTTACCATAGTGCTAACTTAATTTATTTTATAATAGAATTTAAAATTGGTGTCAAATCTTTCATATGAATTTTTTTGTAAAAAAAAAAAGATGCAACATTTGCAGATATTTTTACTGGTCTTCCTTTATAAATATGCATTTCTTTAAACATAATTTAAAAGCAGTGTAAGGGAAGTAATCAAAACGTTGTATTTGGATTACCTCCCTAACACTGTTTTAAATTGTCTTAATTGTTCATTAACCATTACTTTATACATAATTTAAAAGCAGTGTAAGGGAGGTAATTAAAATGATGTATTTGATTTATCTCCCTTACACTACTTTAAATTATGTTTTGTACTAAAGTATTTGTCCATTAACCAGGACAACCTTGTTTTTTCCCCCTTTTTTGCCCCTAATTCCTAAACGGTTTGAGCCATAAAAAAAACCCAAGGCAAATCCTAACCATCCCTTTGTGGTATGGAAACTTGTGGTATAATTTCAGAGAGATCCATACACCGTTCCACAAGTTATTGTCATGAAACTAGAAAATGCTTATTTTTGGCCCCTTTTTGGCCCCTAATTCCTTAACTGTTGGTACCATAACCCCCAAAATCAATCACAACCTTCCTTTTGTGATATTTAACCTTATTGTAAAATTTCATAGAGATCCATTCACTTAAACTAAAGTTATAGTGCGAAAACCAATGTGTCTTCGGACGACGACCCCGGACGACGACGACGACGACGCCAACGTCATACCAATATACGAAGAATATAGAAAAACTTTAACATGAGAATGTCCATACTGGTGTATAAAAATTGCATCAAATATGACTGTTAAAAGTCCAATAACTCTAGAACAACAAACTAGAAATTCTTTTAAATCAAAAACAAGTGTACGCATTTACCAATCCTAACTACAGTGTAAAGTTTGTAGTAATTGAACCAAGCAAAATGCAAACTATTTGATACTGTTTACTTATATTATGGCATTGCAAAAGGTTATGAGTTTCCCCAAAAGTTTATGACATCTTTACACTATATCCGTTGTATGATTATACTGATCAATATGTTATTCTGGAAGAACATGATTTACTTACCGGTAATAGTTGTAATTGGCTTTGAACTAGCTTTCAGTAACTGCAAGTACTCTTATTTAGAAGCTTTTGGGTATATTGTTTTTATGTTAGATGTTTTTATCTCTCGTACCGATCTGTTGTGTTAAGCCAATTGCAACTGATTTAAAAGATTTTTTCTTAATGTTGTGCTGTGACACAAATGTAACTGGTTAGGGGAGGGTTGAGTAGTCATAAACATGTTTAAACCCACAAGATTCTTTACGTGCCTGTCTTAAGTCAAAAGCCTGTAGTTCAGTGGTTGTCATTGGTACATGTCTTTCATATTAAGTTTTTCGTAAATTGTTTTGTTGTAAATTAGGCTGCAAGTTTCTCGTTTGAATTATTTTCATTTTTCATGTCAGGTCCTTTATTCCTGACTATACATAATGGGTTTTTCTGATTTTTGAAGGCGGAACTGTTGCCTATAATTGCTTACATCCACTTCATTTGTACTCTGAGGATATTTGTCTCATTGGCAATCATACCAAATCTCCTTATTGTTATATAAGTCAAGTGCATGATATTTAAATAATAGCCTTTTATTAAGCTCACGGATAAAGTCCCTTTACCCCTGAATGACAAATCAGAACATTTTCAAAAACAAACTGTATGTTATTACTATAAATTTTCACTTCTTCGAACTATGAACATCAAAATTATTTATTTTGTAAAAATATTTCCTTTCTCCTTTTAAACTGTATACCTAACAATAAAAATTATTTTCATTTACCTGTGTATAATATTATTGTAAATGGCGGATTTTTGTTTAAGGTTATTGTTGTTTTTCTGAAATTGTTTAACATTTCACAGCTGTATAATACTGTTACTTTAATTATTCATCCCTTATATTTTATTAATTTTGTATTTACATTGTATCAAAGATCAAATTTATGTTCACTTGTGTTAATATGTCTTTTAATTGGGTTAAGCCAATTTAATTGATATTTTATAGTGTGTCTTTCTATGTTGTGATGTTACACTATTGTTTCAGATAAGGGTTAAGGTTTGGTACCATTACAACATTTAACCCGCTGCAATTGTTTGCATCTGTCCTAAGTCAGGAATCTGATGTTTAGTAGTTGTCATTTGTTGATGTGGTTCACAAGTGTTTCTCGTTTTTTATATAGATTAGACCGTTGGTTTTCCCATTTGAATGGTTTTACACTAGTAATTTTTGGGGCCCTTTATAGCTTACTGTGCGGTGTGAGCCAAGGCTCTGTGTCCTAGACCATACTTTGACCTATAATGGTTTACTTTTATAAATTGAGACTTGGATGGGAAGTTGTTTCATTGGCACTCATACCACATCTTCTTATATCTATGTATACATGTATTACTTTTGCAAATTCCAACAATTATGTAAAGTTTCAAGTAAATCAATCAATTCATACTCATAATAGCTATTGTACAGCAAATAAAAAATTTTGAAATCTAACAGGAGCTAAGTTCCTCAATTATCAATCCCAACTATAGTGTCATGTTTTGAGGAAATCAATCCAAGCACCCTGAAATTAGAACTGCAATATGTGAAAAATTGCCTTAAAACTGATTCCTATAAACATGATGAAGCTGGAAGAAAACAACTAATTAAAGCAAGAGGCACCTATAGCTTATTTGTAGGTCTTGTATTGATAATAAATTTTTGTTTACAGTTTATACCTATCTTTTTTTTTTAGATAAAAAATTTTAAAACTTAGTAAAAATAATAAAACATTAGTCCCCCACATTGCACATATTTTATCTATCCAAGGAACAAGGGCAATAATTAAAAAAAAAACTTTTTTTGTTATTTAGAACTTTTTATAAATATCTTAGTAAAACATTTGAAGGCTTCAGAGCAAATGCAATGTGATTTCCATTCTAATTAGTATTTCCAAGGGACATAACTCTTTAAAAATATTTGACCGCCAATATTTTCGAAAGTGTCAAAAGACATTGCCAATATAAACCTATGATATAAGTTTCATAAAATTCTGGCAAGAATTGTACACATCAGAGCGCTTACAAGGCAATTTTCCATATAATCAATATTTCCAAGGTGCTAAGTCTTTTAACAATAATTAACGGGCACTGATTTTCAAATTTGTCCGAGACATTGATGATATAAACATATAAAATTCATAAAAATCTGGCAAGAATTGTACTCATAACAGCGCTAACAATGCATTTTTCCATTC